CACGTTTGTTGAACAAGAAGTTTAGTTAGTTTAGTTGGTGGTGTCATTCTGTCAACGTTTGTGTTCATTCAGACCGTAGATGATTTCTACAACGACCAGGCAGTAGTGCTGGGAAAGTTGGATTTGGACAACAAGGAGAGTGTACAATTAATTTACTGGTGCTCAGATGAAGTTAGTGAGGTAAAGATAATAATTGTTGTCCAGGCTGCACTACCGGTTGACCTGAACCTTCTAGCATGCTGTTTGGAATATTCATCAGAGCAGAGAATCGTTTGGAGAAGTTTGGCTAGCTCCGCAAGGGGATGTCTTGGAGGACACCCAATCTCTGCCGTCGTCGTTGCTCCTTTGTACTTTCTTCTCTCCTCCTATTATTTTCCTACCAATGTTTCGCCACTATTCATGTCTCGAGCACCGAATGTTCCCTGAAGGACATTATTCGAGTAGATGTGGACGACTTGGCAAGCGCCCGCAGCGGTAGCCTTGAGCACATCCGAGAAGCGAGTGACGGCCAGCAAACACCGACATGTTCACTTGGTGTTCGCCAATGGCATATTCTCGGTGAGTGAAAGCCACGGTGCGTCAGGATAGGAGTGCTATCACTATGCACTAGGGCCCTATAAGCCGCCTATTTGAGTTCAGATGGTAAAGGTGCGCGGGAGCTAATTTTTTTGTAGTAGACTGATCTAAATATGCAACGTTTTCTGAAAATTAATGTGCTGATCAAATCAATTATCCAACCATCCCAGCTATATTCATGTCCCTGGAGAAATAAAATTATCGCCGCCAGCAGTTTCAAAATTCAAATTCCACTTTAGAATTGGTGCGTTCGCTTGCCGTATGGTGCAAGTGTCTGTCAGTGTTGGCGACTCTAGGAATGTATTTCCTTGCAACCTGCGCTCATCCACTGTGAATGTTGACACTCGGCAATTCCTGTGCAAGCTATTCACAAATCCATTGATATTCTGCTCTAGGCAATTGCAAGACAGTAGAGTGCCAATTATCTGCACCTCTCCGGCGGGTGGGGGGATGAGGAGTATGTTTGGACAAGGGAGCAGCCACACATCCATCTAAAACATGCATACCCCCTCATGTTTTCATCATTTCTCTTTCTCTTCAGCAGTACCACAGGAACTCAACACACTCCAGCTCCTGAAAATAACACTTTGGGGACCCATTGCGACTTCAACCTGTTGCCGTACATCCTGTGCACCATTTGAATGGTGCAATTTGGGTGGAAAAATCATGATCGTTCGGATTGTAGACGTTCGGATAATCGGCATTCTACTGTAGTAAAATGGACATAACAATAGAATAGGACTAAACGGAGCAGGGAAGCGATAAGCACAACAGTGACATGCGCTCATCGCACCAGGGGACGAAAAGAAATTGGGAAAAAGAATCTAACGAAACTGTCACGGGAACAGTGAAAAGGGGACAGCAATGACAACATCAAGCCCACCGGGTACCAAGTGAACAGTTTCAGGGTGAAGACGCTTTCTGCTTTGGATACATGAATTAGGCTTGTACAAGTGAAAGCAAAAATTAAATGGCCTCTAAAACTCTCAGCTGAATCACATGGGCATGAGGAGAGCGGTGCACATACAATGATAATTTAATGCGATTCTCTTTCCTTCCTATTTTTGTGTCCCCTGGGGTGATGTACGCATGCCACTGCCGCGCTAACAAATGCTTCCCTGCTTCATTTTGTGCTATTTTTTCACTCACCGCTTTCTGTTCCACATGAAATGGAAGCATGTACTACATGCTACTTCCAACGGCCTATTCTCTGCGTGTACTCTAATTCCAAGCTATTCTCTGCGTGTACTCTAATTTCAGAAATTTTCGGTGCTCAATATTTTCGGTATGAGGGCAAAAGGCCAGGTTAGGTGAACAGAAATTTTCGGTACAGAGAAGCAGTTCCCTATTGGATTACGTGTGTTAGTGTTTGTTCGGTGTATTGAAATTTTGGGTATGAAACAGATGCACCGAAAGTACCGAAAAGAAAAGTACACCGAAAATTTGTGAAATTACAGTAATTTGTGTACCCGCTATTTGTTTGTTGTTCTTGTTTGTTTTTGCAACATGCCAGGTGACTCTTCAAGCTCTTCTAGTGTTGTCGTCAATCTGAACATCAGACACTTCAAGTCGCTGTGCACTGAGGGCTATCTCTATGTGTATGATGGAGCTACTGAGGAGTCACCAATGCTGTTCGTCACCGTCGGCGGAGATGACAACAGCACTTCGAAAGGGATTGTGTCAGCAACATCAGGATCGGTATGTCATTCTTACCTCGAGTACAGTTGTACTATAGATGTATAAGGAAATAGGAAATTTCCCTTTTCAGTCTCTCAGACTTATGAAGAAAGAAAATAGTTTTGCATGTTGCTTAGCACATACTAGTATTACAATATTGGTCTGGGGATTAGGATCATTTACATATTAGCCAAAAACGTAAGTGAGTGGGTTCGTTATGTATTCTTAGTACCTTCAACGAAGAGGAAGCAGACCCCCTTGTATTTCTTCACATAGCTTACCCGTTGTAAGCTCGGATGAGCTTCCATGTCGTTCTGTTTTTTTTTGCTTTTCATCCAGATGCTCATTTCCCTGTACGTCTCCGGACAGAGCACGTTCAGTGCATCGTACAGCGTTGACAGCTGCACACAACAGTGCTTAGAGCATGGTAGCTGCAACAAAGATGGATCTTGCGGACCGTGTCATTCAGGCTGGACTGGCGAGTTCTGCGGTGTGCTGCGCTGTCCAAGGGACTGCCACAGCTCCAAAGGGCAGGGAGAGTGCAACATGGTATGTGTATGGTATGTGTATGGTATGTGTGTCCAGCCTGCGTTCTAGGTTGCATTCCGTCTGGGTCTGTGCTGCGTGTCTTTTACAATGCACGCCTAAAGCCAGTACTTTAGAAGTATAGCCGATGGCAGTTCTGACGGATGGTTGTGCTTGGTGCTTATGGATAGTAGTGGTGCACAATCAATGTATTGCCAGAACAGTAGTCAAAGCAGTCCCCATCCGTGCAACACATTAACATATCACACATGCCAGTGGTGTATCCAGAGGGGGGGGGGGGGGGGGGGGGGGGACTTAATGGCTAGACTTAATTTGAAAGCACAGTTTTATACATAGAATGAAATGAAGAAGCGCGACGTCGTGCTTAGAGGTAACAGATCGCGCTTCTTCATTAAACTGAATTCGGAAATCTATGTTAAGGCAAAGCCAAGGGTACATTTCTCCCAGAAGTGTGCAGCTCCCCATAACCAACCGGGCATTACTCACTTTCAGAATTCCATGTGCATCGTTTGTGTGATGCAATGCACCTGAAATGTGCACGGCCAGCCTTGCATCTTGAAGGCACACACAGTCTCTCCATCGGCAGTTCCACACTCTGGAGAGTTATGTGTAATCAAAAGAATTTAACCGCCCAATAGTGTGTAACTCTGCATGGCTTTGCTACGGGTCCACCGACAATGAAAATTCACATCATAACACAGTGCAGTGCTCGCATTGTGCACCTTACGTGTCCAGCAAGGGTAGTAAAAACAGCACTCCCGGCAGAAATCCACACAGGTCATGCCAGAAAAATGGTAGATTACCGGACTGCGCACGCTGACCTTCATTCTACACGGCACCAAGAGTCCATAACCCCGGGGTTTATGGACTCTTGATGGCACGAAACGCACTACGTGGAACGGGTGATGTGAGAGCTGCACGTCTTTGGAGGTTTATGTCCGGCCCTTGGTTTAATGTACATGTATAAAGATAAGTGATTGAACAGTCTCTGCTGGGGTGACTATGAGTACACCAAGGCTTAGTGGTAGAGCATTCCTGGCCTTTGGTGGCGTCCCTGCTTACAGTTCTGGCGGTGAGAATGAATTTGTGTTCCAACACTTTCAACTAGTAATCATCCTGCGTGTATTTGCAACTTTGGGCAAAGCAAGTGAACGAACAAACTCCTATGCCAATAGTAATTTTTTTATTTGTAGTATCAGAACACCTGAGATCCTAACGTATGTAAACTGTGACTGTGCTCTTCTGTACACTAGAACACCGGATTGTGTGAATGCCACCGCGGGTACAGTGGCGACGAGTGCAGTTTCCCATCCAACATCACTGCACTGTCCCTGGCTGGACGCGTCAAGGCGTATGTTCTGACGTCCGGCTCGGCTGCGTTCCCGTCTCGTTCCGGGCATTCATCTGCAATGACCACGCAGGATGGGTATAGTTTACTCTGGGTCTTTGGCGGTAAGTGATGATAGAGATTATCAACAAGGAAATGTCGACATGTAGAAGCATCCCAATGGAATCTGGGGATTGAGCGTGCATTTCCTGCATAGGAATATTCGTTTCATCGGTGGATAGACTGGCCACGCACAGTTGGCATCTTTATGCAGATCAGCGGTACAGCGACACTGAACAGCATTCTGACTTTTTGGGGTTTGTATGTACTATTTTGACTCTGTGATGCTCCAGGCCACAGCGGGCAGAGCGTTCTTGATGACTTGATAGTATACGACTTCAGGACCAGTGAATGGCGACATGTGAACACCTCCCACAGCAAAAAACGTCCTGTAAGCAATTCTTTTTCTGTTTTGAATGTAGTGGAGGAGTTCATATAAACTGTACCAGTAGCAATATGTCCAAATGACTTTATTCCCGCAGCTATGTTTAAAGTTAGCGATCTCACTCCCCTGTTGCCCGCCACCCTCCTGGCACCTCCACCCATCTGCTGCACACAGCCGCCCCAACGCCTCTGTCCACGCTTTAATGCCCACACCCGCCTGTTGCCCGTCACCCTCCTGACACTTCGACTCACTCCTAGCGCCTTGGTCCACGCTAACTTTCTCCCAATACCTTTGTGCTACCAGACTTAGCGCCCACCTGCACATAGCGCTAACTTTTTGTTTATGCCTGTGGCTCTATGTGTTTATAAGCGTACTACAGGGTAGATCCCTAGGACCAGTTGTCTGATGATTGCCTAGCGGCATGAATCTCAGAGTTACAACCAACCTGAACGTCCTCCGCTGAGTGTGCTATGTTTATAATATACTTGTTGACTACGTGCACTTATCAGTTCATTGTTCACAGATACTCCGAAGTACTCGTACACTCAGTCTGTATTCTTGATGCTGCGTGCCTTTTCAAGTTGATTGTTGTCCTGCTCTGTTACCTGGGAGTAATTCCATTGATGCCACAAAGTATAGCGCTCTTGATGTTGTTGTTGTTGTTGTTGTTGTTGTTGTTGTTGTTGTTGTTGTTGTTGTTGTTGTTGTTGTTGTTGTTGTTGTTGTTGTTGTTGTTGTTGTTGTTGTTGTTGTTGTTGTTGTTTTTTGTTGTTGTTGTGTGTGTGTGTGTGTGTGTTTGTGTGTTTGACTGACTGGGTCCAGGCTGGGAGATACCAACACACCATGACTGCTGTGGGCAATACTCGTCTCTATGTGTTCGGCGGTGAGCTGCAGAGTGGGGTACGAGTAAATGAAATGTGGATGTTTGATATCACCAGTCGCGAGTGGAGCCAGCTTGAAAGTAATGCTGCCGAGCCGCTCAGTTTGCACTCAATGTGTCTAAATCATTCGTCGATCGTCGTGTTTGGAGGTGAGCTGCACACACATATGGCTGACATTTTATATTTATTTTGTTTATTGCAGTGCTGATACCTACGGTAAGAGGGGAAACCAAACATAACCAAGACCAAACAGTACAACAAGGGGTATGTAGGCGGCGCTACATGAGCTATACTGGTGAGGTGTGGGGTGCTCCCCCCTACCAAAAACCTTGGGATCAATGTACACAGCACGATACGCAGTATAGTCATTTTCCTGCATGCTGAACACTACATGTGAAAAGTGAGCAGTGATTATAAAAAGTGAACCATACCTCTTGCTTGCTTAAGGTAGCAGCCTGGTCCTAAATTTCATATGGCATTCAATTGACCGTAACTTGGACTCAGTATCATTGATCTTCGAGTATATCCTACTCATCGCCATCTTGCAAACAACTACAAGCAGTGCTATTAACGCCGTGCATGTAACCTATGTTCTTGCTCGTTGCAGGCTACAACTCCTCTGGCGAACTCAGGAATGTAATGTACCACTTCGACTCGGCCACCGGTGCATGGCATGCGGTGAGAATTTTGCCCGAGAGCTGGTTTGGCCTGTCGGAACGTTTGCGACTCGCTGGTCATGCAGCTGTTGTCCATGAAGAGCTGAACACGATGGTTGTGTTTGGTGGATTCGTGGCCACACACAAAAATAAGTAAGGGCATTTGATCCGTGTATTTCTCACCTTGCTACTGGATCACCCCCCCCCCCCCCCCCCCCGCGTATGCATCGAAATACTACTGAACCTGTTCTTCTATTTTTTCTTACAAACAAATGTGTTTGTTAAGAAAAAGGGTATGATTTTAGTGTGAAATTTGTGGTGTTGGTATTAAACCATGAAGAAAACTAGTATCAGCAGCATCCCCACCATACATGGTGCCCGTTTTCTTAGCACACGCATATGGATTACTGTCTCTGGTATGTAATATTAATACACATGTGTGAGTCACAGGACTATCTTGTTCAAGTGTGCAATCTGGATGTGTGTATGCTTGCAGCATCTTACTAGTTTTTGCAACTATTTCTTGTTTGTCACTGTTGGCATTGTTTGTACAGGCTGGTAACGTCACCTGGCCTATTCATGTTTCACCTGACTAGTCACTATTGGATGGAACTACCCCAGTCAAGCTCTTCTGCATCACTGGCCGCTGGCCGTGCCTTTCACTCAGCCACAGTCTTCGGGAAATACATGCTTATCTATGGTGAGGAGTTGAAAATGCAACTAAACACACAAGCTACTAGTAGCTGTTTGTTGTTGTCATGGTTTTTTCGGGAGAGGGGGGGGGGGGGGTCCTAGACCATTGGTGACTTCTTGACTTGTCTTAATACAACGTAAACTCATAACAAGATGTAATCCAGCCATTATGAAGTTGAGGGAGGGTGATAGATTGAGCACAGTAACAAAAGGAAACCTGTGAAAAGTAGTAGTAATGAGAAAGACATGAGAGAAGTGAGAAGCCGCGATGGGCATGATGGTGCAACTGTCGCCTATATCTATGTTAGGTCCCTGTGGGTGTCGTGTCAACCGGTCTTGGTGCGCAGACTTGGTCTCTCTGTCTCTCTTTCTCACTCTCGCTCTCTCTCTTTATCTATCTATCTATCTCTATCTCTCTCTCTCTCTTTCTCCCTATCTCTCTCTCTCTCTTTCTATCTCTCTCTCCTCTCCTCTCTCTCTCCTCTCTCTCTCCTCTCTCTCTCTCTCTCTCTCTCTCTCTCTCTCTCTCTCTCTCTCTCTCTCTCTCTCTCTCTCTCTCTCTCTCTCTCTCTCTCTCTCTCTCTCTCTCTCTCTCTCTCTCTCTCTCTCTCTCTCTCTCTCTCTCTCTCTCTCTCTCTCTCTCTCTATCTCTCTCTCTCTCTCTCTCTCTCTCTCTCTCTCTCTCTCTCTCTCTCTCTCTAGCTCTCTCTCTCTAGCTCTCTCTCTCTCTAGCTCTCTCTAGTTCTCTCTCTCTCTCTCTCTCTCTCTCTCTCTCTCTCTCCCCGTCATTTCCCCAATCGCAATGTGTTCCACAACCCACCTCGTCCATATTGCAAGTTTGAAGGAACTGGATTCTTAGAATCTCGACAGCCAGAGTGATTTATGGATTACAGGTGGAGAATTAACTAAGGTCCTCCAGAGTAGTTTCCCTTCAAACACACTCTGGAAGCTGCCATAGTTGTTTCGTCGCGACAGTTTCACACAAAGAGAAAGTGAATTTCCTAATTCACCTGGAGATCACCACTGTGTTGGCTGCATTTCCAAACGAAGAAGAGGCAAGACATGAAGAGGCATGGGAGATGCAGGGGAGGGGGGATTGGGTGGGCTTATGGCATTGACGTTGCCCACAGTACTATTGTGTGACAATTTTTATAAATATATTCATTATACTTTCTCCGTTTCTTTGTAGGAGGATTGACTACTGGTGTGCAAGCATCAAATCCGTGTTCGGTTTCGGAAAGCCTTCTCATTTATGATTTCACTTGCTATCGCTGGATACCCATGTCAAAACTGCCCATCAAACGCCGCTCGTTGAACTTGACATCATCCCTGCAGCGCTATGGTCACTCGGCCAGTAAGCTTGGTGATAATCGTGTTGTGGTGATGGGCGGATTTGCCGAGTCAGCACAGAACGACCTGGTTGCATTTCAGCTGCCGAGCGCTCTCACCAGCTATGATCCTGTGCCAGACTGCTACAGCCGCGGCAATGTGAGCTCATGCCTGGATGCCGTACAGTGTATCTGGTGTCCGGAAGTGCTCAACGTTACGTCGCTTCCTGCCAAGGCCAGACCAGGCTCGGCGCAGTGCATTCCGACGGCACTGTCCGGGCGCGTGTGCCTAACACCACTGTCCGATCTGGGCACATGTCATGACCTGTGCAGTTTCCAGCGCTACTGCTCGGATTGCTTGAAATGGCGCTCCGGCTATGACCGCGACAGTCGGCCTGTCTGTTCGTGGTGTTCACAATACGACTCTACACCTTCATGCAGACAGGTTGCTCTGCAGCCAAGTATGTTCTGTGATCCAGCAAGTCAGTGTGATGTAGCTGCTGATCCGAACAGTGCATTTTCCAGTCCTGTTCACCGGCCTGTCAGTTCAGCATCATTCAGCTTCACTAGGCCATTGTCGCCAACCAGCCCACCTGTCAAGAAAGTGGTGGCGTACGGTGGAATCAACCCCCTCTCTGTTGGCAAGCACTGCCGTGCTCTCGGAGACAACGGTAGCTGTGTGAACCGGACCGCAAAGGTTCGAATGTCAGTTGCACATGGCAGCGTTCGTCTTGACCTGGGCAGCGAAAAAGATTCTTTGGTGAGTGAGTTTTTTTAGCATGTGATTTGTAGGATTTGCGAGCCCTTTGGCCTTTGCTATCTGGCCAGAAAGGAATTGCTTCTGAAATGCGGCTGCCTTTTGTGGAAATGCAAGTGTTTGCCGAGGAGTTTCTAGCATAATACTATAAGTTAGGTTGAATATGTGGGCAATTCCGGGAATGTTTAAAGTATTTGGGTTTTTCTATAGTCGCCCCGGGGCAGCAGAGCTGATTTATGTATGCTTGCATATGGCAGCGCTGGTCTGGGTGCGTTTAGGCTCAGCAGGTCAAGGCCGGGAGCCACAATTGCACAGAACATGGGTCATGTAGAACTTCAAGTCCTGGGGTCGGAATGCACGCCGTCGTTTTAGTTAATATAGTTTCATGTTACTTCCCTAGATGCTACGCCCTTTTCACAACTGGCCACCTTAAACATGTACATTAGTGCTTTTGCACCATTAGGTATTCTCATTCAAATAGTACAACTAACTACTATCCACTATCCAGGCAAATAAAGTCTTGGGCAAGAGACTCGGCACATTTCCTCACCCCGTTCCTATCATCAAACTCCAGGGGTCTTCAAATTTTCTCCCATTGCAATATTATAGTTTAGCTTGTCCTTCAATTTTTTGATCACGGTCCATCGTATTGTCCACTGGTTTCTGCGCCATTGTGTCAGGAAGGAGGCATGCAGTGGAACTCGTCCTTTACATACCCTGATAAGACATATACTTGCTTAGTACGGACACTATCCAGGACGGCCGGTGTAGTGCTCCATTTCTGTAGTGTGTTCGGAGTTGAAGGACCCCAGATGCTAAGCACACTTTCCTGTTCTCTATGGGGGTCTGTAGATTCTACGTCTGATCACATTGATCACACTGATCACACTGATCACACTGATTCCACTGCAAGGCCAAAGCCAAAGAATATACTGGATGATTGTCTCCTCCTGCCCCAAATTTGGGGGCCGCCCGGGAAATTTTATATAATTATTTTCGGAGGTCTAGTCCATACGTACGTACGGAGACCGAGCAGTTTCGCTTTTTCGTAGTGAAACCTGACGGGAACATCGATTTTGGTTCCAAACTCGTACACACTTTGAAGAATACAACCAAACTTGGCACACGTTTCACTAAAATGTGCTCTGTTTCTGGAGTACCGTTTAGTTGGCATGCGGCTGCTCCGTGTGCATCAGCTGTTGGATCCTGTTATAGATCGTACCAACCAAACACACCCTCAGTGATCAAGCAATAATGCATTAAAAAATTAAAAATTAAATCCGCCCACCCTCCCCATTTTTTCTGAAAAAAAGGACGACCATCAAGTTTAGGATCTATGTGGCACGTTTTAGCCTTTCTCCTGTTTGTACTCGTTGTTGGTACAGGAAACAGCAGCTTCTGTGACTGCGCTTTCTAATGTCAGCGAGCCGGTGGAAAGCATATTCTTCGTGCACATTGACGATGGTTGGGTGTGGCTGCGCGTCGTTGCTGAGTCGGATCCCAACACTCAGGACCCCGTGTCCGGGGACATTAATGTTACTCTGGTCAGTTATATGCTGTAATTGTGTTTGTATCTGTGTATGTGTGTGTGGGGGGGGGGGGGGGTGCATATGCGCATGTGTGTGCATGGGTAGGTGTGCAAGTGTATCCACGTGTACATGTCTGTGCACATTTGCATATGCATATGTGTGTAGACTGTAGGTTATCAAGTTGTGTAACAACAGTAATTTTATGGTTTGCATGATAAGTTGACAATCATTGTGGTCAATAACGTTATAAGAAGAGTTAGCCGGTGAAGTTCCACTTGTGTGCATCACATACAAAGGGCATGTTCTGAGAGTTAGACTTAAAGTAGATTTTTGTGAAATACCGTGTTCATGCCAGCCCTATTTTCCCGTGGACTTACACGCTCTATCTCTTCTTTTTTTTTGCTTTTTTATATAGGTACCAGGTGGCCGAAATTCCAGTCCGGAAGCCCTGGGCGGTGTGCATTCCTTTATTGAGGAACCGAGTATTGTAGCGAAGTCTCCATCATCACAGCCCGTGTATTTCGATTCAGATAGTTCCCTGTCATTGCGTTCCGCGCCTACTGAGCAACGTTTGCCAACTACCGTCCCAGTACCCACCGTGGATGTTGCTGATGTTCTCAGCTTCGGTGCTGCAGCTCCTGTTGAGTATAGCAGTGCTATACATGAGCCTGCGGTTAACACGCTGGGTACACTCTCGGCGGTTCCACTGGCGTTCCACTTCTACAGTGATGCATGCGGAGCGCACACGGACTGCTCGGCGTGCGTCACCAACAGTTCTTGTGGATGGTGTGCGCAGAGAGGAACCTGCGTGCACATGTCCAGCACTCAAATCGGATCCTGCCCCGGACCAGCTACATTCAATGGTTCCAGCTGGATTCAGGACTCGGCTAGCTGTCTATCGTGTCAACATCGTGATACATGCGATGCTTGTCTGGATGTAAGTCGGTGGGTGCTACCCGAATTCCCGAGTACCTTCATAAACATACCTCGCAAGGCTACTCAACATTCTTGCTTTCCTATTATCACGATAATTTACAACCAATATGATGTTCTTGCAGTGTATCCTATCTTTTTTGGCGAGATGGTTGTGGGGGAGGGGGACGGCGTAACAGGCAGCAGTCATTGTCCCTAGCTGCTCATGTACAGCATGGCTAGACTTAAATGCAATTCTAAAACTGCGACATATGCAGAAATGTTTTTCAGGAATTATTTTTTCGTCCAAAGAGTTTCCCCGCTGAATTGAATGATGGACCAATGGCATTTAGTCCAGTTCTCATGCTTTCAGTACTTCAAAAGAAGTATATTCATCATCTGTGAGCAGACGTTTCAACTGGTGAACAGCCTTGCTTAGGAGTTGTAGGAATTATTTGTAGACAACATTTCTGCTTGTACCCATTGTGGTAGGGCTCAGTATGTCACCATTGCATCTGGCTCTCTTCAATATACACCGGTGGAGCTTGATATTCATTGGGCCGTTTTGTGTGTGTATGTGTGTGTATGCGTGTACAGAGCATAGCATGTGAGTGGAATATGAATGGATTCTGCCAATTGATCGCACCAGGAACGATTGGAAGCATAGTGGCAAGCTCCTCTACTGTCAGGATGAAGCAAGAATGTCCTCTTCCTTGTCCTCAGTAAGAATGTGTGGCCTAGTTCACTGTAAAGGAATTCATGAGGTGGTAAATCCTAAGGCAATGGAGCTTCTTTTGCTCCTCTCTTCATTTCATCTGGTCTGAATATACAAGTGTACGAAACATCGTTGCAAGGGTGAAAAGGCTAATACCTAGTTTTCAGCATACACACATGCATCTGAGATTGGGTTCCTAACTTTGATTGCGGCGGAGGCAACAGTGACTAGGCCGAGGTGAAGAGCACCACCCTTAAGATGTAGAGTTCATTGGAACAAGAAGTCTCTGAATTCTAACACCGCCTTCCTTCGACCTCTACGATCTACATTGACTATGGGCCACCTTACACCACTCATTTATGTATAGAAAGGCAACACAGTGGTAGTGTGTTACAGGTGGGGTTATGTACGTAGTGTGTTACAGGTGCGGTTATGTACGTAATGAAGAATACCTTGTTCAAAGGTTTTACCCAACCAGCTGACACGAACACGTGTCCCTGTTTTACTTCAACCCTGATGCATCATCATGGCTGCCACGTTTCCCTGCCATGCTACTGTGCACAAGTATTCCTGTTGTGTCATGTGTCAATGCAGACGTAGCCGATGCGATGAGTGTATGCTTGGTGGGTTCGCACGGCCGTGCGTGTGGTGTGTCAGTACGGGCAAGTGTCATGATCAGGCCAAGATGCCACTTGTCAATGCCTACGGACAGTGTCGCCTCTACTTCTCAAACAGGTTAGTCATGCAATTCTGAGCCCGGTTCAACTTAAATCCGTGCTGCACCACTTCTCAGTGTCAACAAGAGCATTGTGCCTATGGAGGTACACTCTGAGCTTCTCAATCTTCTCTAGTTGAAACAACTCAATCTGCTCTAGTTGAAACAGGAATCTTCTCTAGTTGAAACAGGAATCTGCTCTAGTTGAAACAGGAATCTGCTCTAGTTGAAACAGGAAAGGCACTGTGACAAGCAGTATTGCACAACATTGAATACCTGTTAGATTTCTTTATGCTTGTCGTCACTGCGCAAGTATTGGCTCAGTCTAGGCTATTGCACTGACTGTTTCAGTTCCTTACCACTGATGCAGGCCCGGCGGAACGACGTTGGTCCGGCCATGGCCGGACCAAGCATGGCCGGACCAACCTTTTTGGCCACCAACATCTGTTTACTGCTGAGGAGGTCATGTGTACACCATAGTATACCCTCCATATCATACACAAACTGTATAGAAGGCTAGGGTATGGCGGGACCAATCAATAACTGCTTCCGCCGGTCCTGTGATGTCTTCTATTTGCATGTTCTCTGCAGCCCGGACATGTGCAGGAATTGCTCGGCACGGACTGTGTGTAGTGACTGCCTTGCCACACCATCCGCACAGGATCGTTTCTGCGGCTGGTGCATGGACGTCAGCGATCCGCAGAGTGGCAGGTTGGTACTGCATGCCCTATCATCTGTATCGTCTTCACTCTCTAGTGATGCTCGTAGCCTGGGTCAATAAGGAAGATGACATAATGCGTTTAAAACAATCAGAACGAGTGCTATACACTGATGGATACTGCTGGTGGCCCAAGCCAGTATTTATAACATGGAGATTGCAGTGTATGGTTGCGATCCAAAATGCCGTGTGCTGTGCACTAATCGAGTCTACAGTGCTTGATACAGGTTGTGGGGAGAGGGAATGGGATGGAATGTAGGGAAGTCTACAACAAGAGGAGAGGGGGGGGGGGGGGTGCAGATTGATGGAATTATGAGGGGACTAATTCTCCTGTGGGGAAGGGGAGGGGTCATTCCTGCAAAGAATAACGGCGGCTTATAGTGAATGTAGGGTAGTGAGGCTTATAGTGAATGTAGGGTAGTGAGATATGAAAGCTGCACATGAGTGCAAGCAGGGCAGTGAGGTATGATAGCTGCACATGACCCACCCCAGGGCAGTGATTTGGTGTAGGTAACAATGTTGGTGTTTTGGTTTTTGCAAAAAATGTACCATGGAAAAATGTACCATGGAAAAATGTACCATGGAAAAATGTACCATGGAAAAATGTACCATGGAAAAATGTACCATGGAAAAATGTACCATGGAAAAATGTACCATGGAAAAATGTACCATGGAAGCTGACAGGCGTTGACACTCGAATGAACTGCCTCGTCTCTTCCTTCTTTAAACCAGATGTATGCCTGGCAGCTTTGACGGACCATCCGCCAATGAAACTTGCGATATTTCATCCATGGATACAAGACGTGTACCTGTGTACGCCAACCACACGTGAGTGTGTCATGTAACCCATGCACTCTAACCCTATCCACCACACAGTCACTCATGTTGTTGTAACCCATGCACTCTAACCCTATCCACCACGCAGTCACTCATGTTGTTATAACCCATGCACTCTAACCCTATCCACCACACAGTCACTCATGTTGTTATAACCCATGCACCCTAACCCTATCCACCACACAGTCACTCATGTTGTTATAACCCATGCACTCTAACCCTATCCACCACACAGTCACTCGTGTTGTTGTAACCCATGCACTCTAACCCTATCCACCACACAGTCACTCATGTTGTTATAACCCATGCACTCTAACCCTATCCACCACACAGTCACTCATGTTGTTATAACCCATGCACTCTAACCCTATCCACCACGCAGTCACTCATGTTGTTATAACCCATGCACTCTAACCCTATCCACCACACAGTCACTCATGTTGTTATAACCCATGCACTCTAACCCTATCCACCACACAGTCACTCATGTTGTTATAACCCATGCACTCTAACCCTATCCACCACACAGTCACTCATGTTGTTATAACCCATGCACTCTAACCCTATCCACCACGCAGTCACTCATGTTGTTATAACCCATGCACCCTAACCCTATCCACCACACAGTCACTCGTGTTGTTATAACCCATGCACCCTAACCCTATCCACCACACAGTCACTCATGTTGTTGTAACCCATGCACTCTAACCCTATCCACCACGCAGTCACTCATGTTGTTATAACCCATGCACCCTAACCCTATCCACCACACAGTCACTCATGTTGTTATAACCCATGCACCCTAACCCTATCCACCACACAGTCACTCATGTTGTTATAACCCATGCACTCTAACCCTATCCACCACACAGTCACTCATGTTGTTGTAACCCATGCACTCTAACCCTATCCACCACACAGTCACTCATGTTGTTATAACCCATGCACTCTAACCCTATCCACCACGCAGTCACTCATGTTGTTATAACCCATGCACTCTAACCCTATCCACCACACAGTCACTCATGTTGTTATAACCCATGCACTCTAACCCTATCCACCACGCAGTCACTCATGTTGTTGTAACCCATGCACTCTAACCCTATCCACCACACAGTCACTCATGTTGTTATAACCCATGCACTCTAACCCTATCCACCACACAGTCACTCATGTTGTTATAACCCATGCACCCTAACCCTATCCACCACGCAGTCACTCATGTTGTTATAACCCATGCACTCTAACCCTATCCACCACACAGTCACTCGTGTTGTTGTAACCCATGCACTCTAACCCTATCCACCACGCAGTCACTCATGTTGTTATAACCCATGCACTCTAACCCTATCCACCACGCAGTCACTCGTGTTGTTATAACCCATGCACTCTAACCCTATCCACCACACAGTCACTCATGTTGTTATAACCCATGCACTCTAACCCTATCCACCACGCAGTCACTCATGTTGTTATAACCCATGCACTCTAACCCTATCCACCACGCAGTCACTCATGTTGTTATGATACATCGATGATTGCGCGTGCCCCGGCGCTATTATGTATAACATATCACTATCAAGATGTCAGTCATGTTGCCGCGAGAGCGTTTATTATGCACGCATGCGCATTACACTCTCTGTGCTGCTTATTGGACAATAACTGTTACATGCTGCTCTGTGTGACGCTTAGCATGTTGGCTTGATGT